AATTTCCTATTCCAAACTCCCGCTAGACGGCGGGGGGATGGCGGGGGACATGTTTCGAACCTGGAACCATCGGGATCATCAAACGACATTCCAGATCACATTCCACACGACCATGCAGCCGTCAGATGTTGTGATAAAGGTCTAGACAACTCTGAACAAAATCTTTTTTTTTTTTGTCTAACGGTTGACTCCCTTTCTACATAAAATCCCATTCTAAATGTGGTAGTTCATCTTTATACATGTTTGACACTTTAACTACATTTAGTACTGCAATGTCACGCCAGGGGCGTAGCTAGGAATTTGCCATCATTTGGGGGCCCGGGGGCTTGACCACTTTGGGGGCCCCTGCATTTTGCGTAATATTCAATATGTAAAGTAAAAAAACCCCACTCATTTGCCTCCCACCCCGGGCCAAGTGGGGGACAGGGGGTATTTTCAAACTCTACCCTCTCCTCTTCACAACCTAGCTACGCCACTGTGTCACGCGCTCAGAACGTTCTGTATTTAATATACGTAAAACTCATCAAAATGTACAAACTGCCTCTCTATCTCTTCCTTCTGTTTCGGCTAAAAAGAGTTCTAACTACAAAATGTATATTGAAAGGGCTTGTCTTACTCTCCAAACACTTATAGTGTACTGTAGCAAGTTTCCAGACAGGGTTCCGACACGGATTTTCGAAGGCATTGCTATCCACTGTTATATCACACGTCGACAGTCCATTGCATCTAAAAATAACGTAACAACAGATTAATACAAAGTATATGAGTAGATAAATAATTCGTTTTAATTCGTAATATGGAAATGACAAAAGTTTCATTAACTTGGTACATATTTTCCCGTCTTTCACCATATGTCTGACTACTCTCTCTTTCTCTCTCTCTCTCTCCCACACTCCCCCCCCTCTCTCTTTCTCTCTCTCACACTCCCCACTCTCTCTTTCTCTCTCACTCTCTCTTTCTCTCTCACTCTCTCTTTCTCTCTCACTCTCTCTTTCTCTCTCACTCTCTCTCTCTCTCTCAGTCTCACTCTCTCTCCCACACCCTCTCTCCGTCTCCCCTCTCCCCCCCCCCTCTCTCTTCCCCTCTCTCTCTCCCGCTCTCCGTCTCTCTCTCTCTGTCTGCCTCTTGTATAGCAAGCACACTCCTATAAAATTTACTTTATTGAAGTGTTTAAATAGATATTCTATTGTTTAGGAAAATAAATAAGAATTAGTCCATGCATAAGTATCTAAATAGGTATTGATATTGTTTATGATTACCTTCAGTTGATTTACTAGGCGCACAGCTCTAGTCAGATTATGAACGAGACAAGATTTATGACCTTACAATAAAGGACTTACGTACTGATGTAGAACAGAAACAAGTTAAGCACGAGACTAACAAGAGAAAGCATCTAGTTACTGACAGAGGACTCGTGACTTTTAAACCGTTATTGAGAATAATCCTTCTGATAATTTATAAAGCTGTGCCAGTCAGTTATATGAACCTTATATGACGCTCGCCAATGGATCTCAGTCACCAATCGTAAATAAACACATTTAGCCACGTCATAATATTGATAAAACAATGAAAAATACGTATCACGTGACAGCCACTATGGATTACATAATTTGTTTAGACGATATATAGAATCACGTGACTAAATGTCGTTTGTTTACGATTGGTGAATGAGGTCCATTGATATTACATTTTTTGAAAAATTAAAATTAACAAACCAACCTTCATCCAACAATTTTCAATTGAATATATGTCTGTACGAAAAAATATAGATAGATTTAGCATGTAAATGATTTAAACCAGTGATGTCCGAAATTCGGCCCGCGGGTCAGATCCGGCCCGCGACGTGCTTTCATCCGGCTCGCCGAAACGTCGGCACAAAATATAGAAATTCCCGGATCTTTACTATTTTGTAGAACATGATACCATTGTTAGCCAACATGTTTGTTTTTATGAAGAAAGTGTGTGTGAAATCAACGAACACAAAACAAGAACAAGAAAAATATAAAAAGAAACTAACGCCATTTCTAAAAGTGTCAAGAGAAAAAATCAACTCTCCCAATACTTCAATGCAAGTACTAGATCCTCGGGTTTGAAATAAAATTGTTTCAGGTCCATTTCATTAAGATGTATCTTTTCCATCAGGTGGCCCGCGAAACTAGAGTTGGAAATTAAAATGTTCCGCAGATTGAATTAGGTTGGGCATCACTAATTTAAACCATGTTAAAACGATTCAATTTACATGTCTGTGAAGTTTATGTGTAATGAGACTACAAATACTACTATACCAATAACATGGCTTTATTCAACAAGATTAGACTACAGTAAGCAGTGAATGAAACCAGCAAGTCTCACTTCACACTGATGAAGTACTATACACACACACGCACACTGGACATGACCTTCTGACACGCTGAACACACGCAGAAAATAAATAACTTAGTTACACTACAATCACCCCGCCTAAATGTTATAGGAAAATAAACATGTAAATAATAGTGGTAAATGGACAACGATATAGAAAGCCTAAGTATCCCTACAGAATACTTACAGAGTATTTAGGATGTAAGCAGTATTTCACAAGACTACACAAATCCAGCTGCGACATATATGTTTTGGCAAATCTGATGCAGGCAAAGTCTTCGTCCGCCAGGGATTACTTAAATTTTCTCCTAGTCTTCTGCCCTTTTTCGGTAATAACTTATCTTTGGGCCTCAAGTTTTTGTTCCGTAATCTTTTTGAGACCTCTCAAACTGTCGCGACTATGCCAGTGAGGGCGAAATTGCGTCTGAGTAGGTTTTGTGAAACATTGTAAGACATCCAGTCTGTGGGCACGACATGGCTTATATTGTGCCGAAGTGCCAAAAACTTAAAATATCAAAATAAATTATCCAGTCTACGCTAGGTAGTGAAATGTGGATTGCGCCCATCAAAATCTCTTTTTAGGCCCAATGTTGACTATAGTGGCTAAGTAGTCTCAAACGGCTTAATACAACAGATAGCTGTTCACTTTATTTTGGAGTTTCTATCTGGCTGCCGACTATCATTAAACCTCTATATACATGTTTTAAATAAACAACTTACATGCTGACAACTTTTTCTTTATTGTGTGACTGACATATGAATGGATGTTCATCAAATGGACATGTCTGACCAGCAGGATAACCATACATGACACTAAGTATTTGAATCTTTTGTTCTAACCCACAGGTCAGCGTCATCTTTTTTCCTTCACAGGCGTAAGCTGTTTGTGTATCGGATGTTTCTGGAATATCAAAATTGATAAGAACCGTGCTTTAAAAAAAAAATAATTCAGAAGTTATTCTATAAAAAAAGTAAATTTCCCCTTTCAGACCTTGTGGTCTATAGGGCAGATGATGTAATGGTCATCTGGTTTCTGTGGCCTACGGTTAACGAGGGTCTCAAGTGGCCAGCACAACGACCAACCGCCTTTACTTTTCCCCAACTAATGTCAGGTACCCATTAGAGCTGGTTGGACTCACTGGCGCCCAAAGATCACCAGGATAAGTTGTTATAACCACTTTTTAAAACAATGTTCTTTTTCATTGATAGTTTAAAAAATACATTGCACAGGTCATCCTGTTATGATATTATGGAAGATTGCACTATACTTAAATGAACGATTAGTTTTGTAGTAAAAAAGAACAAGTTTCCCCGTTTTAGACCTTGTAATCTATGCAGGGCCGGTTTTAACAATTGCGGGGCCCTATGCGATACTGATTGCACGGGGGCTAGTCTGGGTTGAATTAAGAATAATAAGTGAAAATTAAGATTTTGTATTAGAAAAAAATTGGCTTTGAATTTTATTCATTTTTTACTAAGTACAAAATTGCGATCAAATTAACTTTATTTTACGAACATTGCGACCTATGACATATTCATATGCCAGTGACTATAAAAGTAAAAGTATTGGAACTTCCAATGGACCTCATTCACCAATCGTAAACAAACAACATTTAATCACGTGATCTTATTGATAAAACAACGAAAAAAAAAACTGTCACGTGACAACCATCATGAATTAAACATGAGATCGTAAATTATATAGAAGAGATAGAGCACCACGTGGCTAAATATGGTTTGTTTACGATTGGTGAAGGAGGTTCATTGAGGTAAAAATTCGCCCGATTATTACATTTTATTACATGAAAGCTGACAATGCCTTTTTTCTTTTATCGCGCGTAGGATTGGCGTTTTCCGCAATGAATGACACCCACAAATGACAATTTAGTCTATTTTTTAGGAGATTTTTATGAGTTTTCAGAAGATGTTAATAAATTCAGGAGAATTCCGGGAATTTTCGTATATATTTTGCAATTTAATAATTACACCTAGTATTGGCACGGGGCCTATGAAAGCGCGGAGGCCCACTGCAGTGGCCTAAGACCGGCCCTGAAACTATGGGCCAAATGATGTTAAGGTCATCTATTTTTTTTAAACAACGGGTAATTCGCGGGGTGTCATGTGGCCAGCACACCACCAACCGCATTTAATTTCCCCAACTAAAGTCAGGTACCCCTTTGAGTTGGGTGGACTCAGGGCCGCCCTAAAAATACCGAAATTCAAAATCCGTCTTCACCAAGATTCGAACCTAGGTTTGGAAGCCAAGCGCTTAGCCACTCAGCCACGGCCTTCCCCCCCCCCCCCCCCGATTAGTTTTGAACAGGGAAATTAATTATTAATTTCCTTAATAAACGTTTTAAAATAGATGAAATCAATAAAATAGATTACATTAATTAAACTGATTAAGAAAACACTTGGTAGAAAAAAGTTTGAGACAGAAAGCAGATTTCAGTTCATAAAACACAATAAGGTTTTTGTTTTAAATATATTTTAAAATGTAAATGACATTGTTCAAACTTGCCTGATGTAATGGGTACTAATACGACAGACCCTACAAACAAGGACACCACAGGTATAACCTTAATCCAATACGTAATGTGTTTAGCCATGTTACAATGAAGTCGGTAGAAGCTGAGTACAGAAAATTGCTACACGCTTACAAGAATTGTCTCAGCTATTTAAATTACTGTCGTAGATCTAATGCCGCAATAATAAATGCACAATATCGTATATTTCAACAATAACAATCAATAGATTTGTCGAACGCTTATCTATCTTTCTATCTATCTCTATATAAAATATAAAATATTAAATAACATGGTAGGTCTAATAAAATGAATTATTTTTACATGTTTTATACAATCTACCTCATGTAATATTGCGTGTCTTTATATATATATCGCACATTAGTCTATTAGTCACGGGTAATAAAAAATCTTTGCACTGCATTTTTTTTTTTGTATGACACGTAAAATGTGAAATTCCGTTTTCTTTTATATTTATAAAAAAAGAGTAGTTCCGGGTATGTTTTTCTTATTTCTACACCAGGGAAATGCTCGGATATTCCAGAAGGCTGAAAGGTAGGGGAGGGGCGCGGTGGCTTAGTGGTTAAGCGCTTGGTTTTCTAACCTGGGGTCCTGGGTTCGTATCTCGGTGAAGGGATTTTGGATTTCGGGATTTTTAGGGCGCCCCTGAGTCCTCTAACGGGTACCTGACTTTAGTTGGGGAAAGTAAAGGTTGGTCTTCGTGCTGGCCGCATGACACCTTGCTTATTAACCATTGACCATAAAAAAAAATGGCCTTAACATAATCGGCCCCATAGGTTGAATTTATTTTTTTTTTAAGGGAGTGGGAGGGGGGAGGCGTATGTGGTGTACAATTTTTTACGATTTCGACCATGCGGGAAGGAAGGTGTAATTATTTGTTACCCAATAAAACAAACAAACATTCACATGAAATCACAGATACAGTGATCTGTTGACTTTCGCGGGTTAGCTGTACCGAGACCAAACATCACAGATTTGTTAAGTCACAGGTCTACTAGACTCTTGATCTCGGTTGTAGCACTAATTTCCAAAAAAAAATAGTATTGGAAAAAAATAGTCCGTTTTTTTTTGTTTTTTTTAAATATCACGGGTTTTCCCACTCGTTTACCGACAAATGACCGATGTCAGAGGCGCTGCAAGGGATGGGGGGGGGGGGGGGGGGAGGAGGGATGGGGGGGGGGGGAGGAGGGGTGGCGGTTGGCCTCAGCAGTTTGTTATTTTGACATAAGGACATAAAATAATGTACTTAATAAATTTATAATTCTAAATTCAAATCGGCACAGTATATCAGTAAAATTAAGAAAATTAATCATTAAGACGCTTTTAGTAAATCGTATCGTTGTTTATTGGCGAGAAAATGCACCAGCCTGAATTCAAATCGCTTCACTTCGTGCTTTCAGTGCAGTCAAGGCATCTATTACATCATCTTCATAATGTTATCTAGTATTTTTTACTTCACTGACATTACAGCCATGCTGCTAAGTCTTCCTTGCGTCTTTGTGCTCTTGAGTTTTTGATTAACTTGATAGTTGTTTTTTTTTTATCTTTCACATGACGCAATGGAAGTAACCTGAGTTAATAACATTTGGATGGAGGTGCGAGGTTTGAGCACACACCATTACCATATGAAGCCAGCTTCCTCCATTGGTGACGTAGTACTGGTTTGTTGATGAAAAGCGCTAATGGATCAATGACGTCATTAAACAGGCGATGTGCCTGTAGTTTATTATACAAGCAGAAACCAGTAACAGAGGTTTTCATCCGTGTGACGTCCTCCAGAGCCTCTAAAAGGTGTCTTGGTTCAAGAAGAAACCCAAAAGTGTCCATTTCATTTTTCAGTTTTTGGACTTTGTCCTTTCATGTATTCTGTCAGGGCCGGTCTTAGGCCCACTGCAGCTTATACGGCCGCAGTGGGCCCCGCACTTTCATAGGCCCCGCGCGATGCGAATTCTATGTGTAAATGATTAAATTAAGCCATTTTAACTTATTATTTAAAGGGTTCCAGGAATTCTCTTAAAATTAAAAAAATATATATAAGATGAAAATCTCCTGAAATTAATAAAATCTCCTGAAATTAATAAAATCTCCTGAAATTAATAAAATCTCCTGAAATTAATAAAATCTCCTGAAATTAATAAAATCTCCTGAAATTAATAAAATCTCCTGAAATTAATAAAATCTCCTGAAATTAATAAAATCTCCTGAAATTAATAAAATCTCCTGAAATTAATAAAATCTCCTGAAATTAATAAAATCTCCTGAAATTAATAAAATCTCCTTAAAACAGACAAAATTGTCATTTCGGGGTGTCATTCAACATGGGAACCGCCAATCCTACTCGCGATTTAAAGAAAAAACGGCATTGTCAGCTTTCATTTAATAGAAATTTAAACCAAAACATTCAAATACTTAATTTACTGTAATAGTCACTGGCATAGAAATATAGATCTAAATCTATCTCGACCTCTTCGACAAAAAACATCAAAAGCGATATTTTGCAAGTCGATTTTAAATCTAAAAGGCAGATCTGAATGTTTATCGGCTTTTTGTTGGAACACTTCTATCTACTGTAGATGACTCGTAAAGTTAATTTGACACTGATTATGTACTTAAATAAAATGCAAAGACGAATTTATTTTCTAATACAAAATCTAAATTTTCACTTATTATACTTATCACAATCCAAATTAGGCCCCACGCAATCCGTTTCGCAGAGGGCCCCGCAATCTGTAGGACCGGCCCTGTATAATTCTGTCTAGCACTTGTGTCGAAGCACGTTTGAATTGCAGTTCTATTGACAGTCCTACTATTCAGAAGTCAACTCCGCATCAAGTCTTTTTTTTTCTTCACAGAGATGTTGTCTTTGCTCATAATATTTCAGGGCACAAAGAAGAAATTGATAAAGCATGAAAAAAAAATGTTTCAACAATAAAATGTGCATGTTTGGAATCCAATGTAAATTTAAAAATAGAAACAAAGAACAATCACTCTCGCATCCAGAAATAAATAGAAAAAAAGTTACATGGAGTCATCATAAAAAAAAAAAAAAATACAATTGTTTAAAGTGTAGCGGTTCTCAACCTTTCGTGCTCGACGACCCCTTTTAGCGACCCACAGGTTGAGAACCCCTGGTTTAAAGCCTTCTCCCCTTTTTGACACACCACTCTCTATAAATAGGACAAGAAAATCATTTTGTCACAAATCCAACTTAAGCTTCAGAGAAAACCAAAATTGTAATGAGTGCGATTTTGTAGCCACGCCTTAATAACTCACCTTGAGAATATGCTAGGAAGTGTTAGATCCGGCTTTAAGGCCTCAGATAATTGGAGGCTCTAGTTGAGAGGAAATAGAGTGGCCCCAAATAAAATAGAAGTAAAAATATACAGCTAAAAAAAAAAATTATGCATTTTAGTAAAACCATAATGTACTCCAACAATAAAGTTATGACAAGTTTCACCATTTCTACTCTAAAGAACCATATTTGTATTTAGCGTAAACTATCTACACCGTACCTAAGGCAGGCCCTGATCCCATGTCCCGCACCTTAGAAGGGCCCCGCGATAAAGACAATCCCTTGTCACCATCATTTCTACATACAAATAGGACATTCACTAAGGGTCCCGCGTACTGATGCCTCTAAACTAATTGATGTATTAGAGCCTTCCCTGTAGGACAGTTGTATTAATTTTGATTCGTTTTAATTTGCCTAGAAAGTACATATAAATATTTAGAATTTAGAAAGAAATGTTAAGTATGCACTTTGAATGGTTCACATATTGGTTAAATACATTGGAATAGAAATGGACAAAAATCTTTTTCTTTATTCTGGTTTAAAAATTCCTAACAACTTATTTTTATACATGGTTGACGCAATGTAATAGCTGATTCAGTGTTTCTAAAATTTTTACCAGTGGCAACCCCAGTGGCTTCAGAAATTCTTTTTTTCTGGCTTTTATAACCCTTTCTAGCGTACCCCGATAGGGGGGAAGCCGCAATTAGTTTTGTGTGTTCTGTCTGTCCGACCACCTGTCCCTTTAAAATCGCAAGAACTAGAATATATATTGAAAACCGGATAACATGATATTTTAGATCTAGAGTCGATCTGGTGCGCAACTACTCTTTTACAAAGCGTACATCAACTTTGTCCGTCTGCCTGTCTGTTCAAAAGTTTGTATGAGTCATAAATTAATTTACTATTAGAAATTAATTATTATTTTGTTTGGCATCTCGAACAAGGATAAGAAATAGTAGAAGTGGTGGTATAAGCTGAATTAGATATCCAGCAGACCAAGGGATAGGTGAAAAGAAATTGGCTGCCTAGACGTGCGGTTTGCGCGCTGGACTGTCGTTCAGATTTATCGATGGTCGAGGGCTCAAACCCTGCCCGCTCCCATCCCCCGTCATCCTGAGGGATGACTAGGAAGTAATTATCTTCAACTCTGAAGCATGTAAAACATTTTACAAACATAGTGTACAGTTCAATGTGAACCTGGCCTAACTGATGTCTTATATTGAATATCTGTTTTGTAAAGGGTCAATCTCTTATTCAAAGCCTCAAGGAAATAAAAAAAAACATTTCAATAAAAAAAAAATTCCTTTCGTTAAGTTTTCTGCAGCAATGATGCAGCCCTGCAGTTCACGTGATAATATAAAAAAGCTACTTTTTAATTGTTGTTTTAAATAATGTTCCACTAATATGTCTACTAAATAGATTCTTTCTCTTTAAAAAAAAAGTAAACATTATTTTTGTCAATGTAGTAGTTAGTATGACAGCTCTTATTTAACTTTGCAATACATTTGTCAAACAATTTTATTTTTGCCCAAAAATCTAAAACCATTCGCATAATTGCATAACAGAAATTGTAAATAGACTCCGGTGTTTGTTACTATTAATAGTGAATAGTTATAAAAATGGTGTTTTTTTATGAAAAAAACTGCTTGCGTAATTGATTTTAAAAATTAGATTTATCGCTTTCAGAAAACAAAAAAAAAAGTAGCCGTTGCATCAGAACTTTGGTCTAAAATATAATGTCGGATTTTCACTACCTTTTCTAGATTACGAGATCTAAACGGGACGGATGGACGGACTGACAGTTCACAAAGAACTAATAGCGTCTTTCCCCTTTTCGGGGGCCGCTAAAAAAGACCCAATATGCGTGTTAAGAACGTAATGATAACAAAGTCGAAAGCCATGTCCGCTTAGTATGACTTTAATACACTGAATGACTACACAACACACATTTCGTGAACACCTTCTTACGGACGAGTTACAAGCACATGTAAACATAAGAACGACAACCGATACAGCATA